GTGTGTGTGTGTGTGTGTGTGTGTGTGTGTGTGTGTGTCTTAATACTGCTGCCAGTTGTGAAATATATTTTTCTGCTTGACAGCCAAGTTTGTGGATGAATCACAGAGACTAAACTATTCAATAGTCTCTTCCTGTCTCCCACCGGCTCCCTGTTTGTTTCCAGCTGTCTGGGATCTCTCACTGTTTATCTGCTCTTCAAAAAAGATTTTCACCAAAGTCTCTGTACACATTGATTAGCCTTTAGCAATATTAGCTTCCCTATTGTAAATCCACATTAATCCAAGAAACATAGAAATCTCTTGCATCATTTAACAGTGGAATCTTTATCTTTTTTCAAATAGATAATTTCTGACTGGATTGACAAAAAAGATTCATGTTCACCTCATGATGAATCTGTTTTCCTCTAAATCTTATATCTTCACGTCAAAATGTCAATTAACCTAAAACTTAATATGACCAGAAACCTGCAAACTAATGACAGCAATTGATTAATTATTGAAAGTGAGTAAATTCAAACCCCTCATTGGCTTTTGCTTATTGCCTATTTTAGTCATACCAGTATTTGTACTCAATCTTGTATGTATGATTTTTTTTCAATGAACTAATTCATGTCAGTGCCTCTGCTGATAGTAGCTTGTACAGCTATTTAAATTAATCTGGGAGAGAGAGGTGAAACTTTGTGCATAGACTGAATGAATGCAACCTTTACTCCTGGATCCTTGAATGCATCGTACTGCACCACTCTGAATTAGCTGTATAATACAATGTATGATAAATGCTCAATGCCTATCTCTCATTGAAATGATTCAAGTAAGGCCTGCACAGTTGCACAGTGTCGGCTTTGTAGTGATATTACTCACAAGGTCTGAGAGAATGTCAACGACTCACTACAGCTCATTGATTGATCTATCTGAAGGAATGTTTCATTAAAAGTTTTTCACCTTTTTTTGCTTTTTAAGCTCGTGAGTCTAGTATTAAATCAGAGAGGTGCTGCAGTATTGAGCTTTAGGAGCATAATAACAGTGACATCAGACTGCTGAGGTTTGATAAAAGCAACACAAGACGACATGCAGAGGAAAGAAAGAGAACAGCACAGAAACATCTCAATAAGAACTGATGAGTTGAATCAGTCTGTGTCTCAGGAGTGCCACAGGGTTAATAGGTAAGACTCACTTTATCTGAGGTTTGATATTTTAGATTTGCTTGAATGGAGTGCACAGATTGGCTGTTGATGTTCATACTGTGTTGATAATAAATTGACTTTAGAACTCACATAGAGTGTTTCCATCTAACACAAGGCTGCAGTCAAGGGTTTGAATTTATAAGAGATTAGAGCCCTTGAATTTTAGTCTGTTGAGATTCAAACATGTGGTTTAGTCAGTGTTTTGACTCTTTAATTTGATAGTATAACAACATATAGACACGGGACCAGAGAGAGATAGAGAGATGGTACAACATGTGACAAAGACTGAACCAGAAAGTTTGCAGTTACATGATACACACCTCAACCACCTCATTACCAGGACGCCCCTGTTTCATTCTTTTGTATTTTGACGCATATTTTATTTCATCAGTTGTTTTATTGTTCATTTTGTGGTTAGTTAGTTTAGCTATGAGATGTGATAATGTGCTTTAGAAACCATCTTTTCTAATTAAATCTTTTATTTCTTTTATTGATTATTTGCCGGTATGAACCAATTTCTTTCATGGTGCCATTACATCAAATCTCTGGTGAATCTGAATCGTGCTTTTATCAAACCAGACTCTGAGGATTGAACCTGTGTAGAAACTGTTTGACGGGCTGCACATGACGGACAGCAGTCACTCTGCTCTGCAGCTTCCTATGACTTGTGGCTGATCATGACCTCTGACCTCCCTGTGGGGATGGGGGAAGAGAGAGAGAATATTTCCCTCCAGAAGTCAATGACGTCTGATATTAATGAATAACACCGGCGTCTTTTTTCTCATTTTAATCCCACTGATAATGAATTACCGTCCGATCAGTTTTGAGTTGAGCAATAACACACCTGGCTGACTCACACAGCCACACAAAATTAATATTG